TCCATTTTCAAATGGTCTTAATTTTCATCAACCCAACCTGTCACTTTTTGGCGGGTTGAGCCTGTAGGCTCAACTCATATTACCAGCTCTATTAGCTATTATTTTTGTTAATGGGAACACTCTCACTACTTGAAAGACTAGATTCAATTGAGATATTTTCTTCCTCGACTAAAACCTCTAGTCTTTTTAACCCTTTTCTCCTTTCGAATTTTGGCAAGGGTTTCTAAATCTTAGGGTTATAGACAACTGGGGTTGTGGAGCTAGCTTTGGTTTTTCTTCACATAAACAATCACACAATAAAAACAAGTAGCCAAAAAAATAAAAGACAAAACTTACTCGCACACAAAGTTCAAGTTAAACAAATGCAAGAGCATATGAATGTATAGAATGCGTGTATGAAGTGTATATGATACAAGTATGAAGTATGTATGCATAGTTAAGTATGCAGAAGAAACCAAAATTTTTCTAAAGTCTTCACCACAGAGAAAAATCTAGAGGCAAGTCTGCACCAACAAAGATCTCTTGATTCCTCGCAGCTAGGCCAGCTTGAAAGCTATTTGTCGCCTATCTCACCCTTTTCTTTTTATTAGAAAGATAGGTGAGCATAATAAGGCGCATAAGATAGGTGAGCTTTCATTTTTTGGATGTCTTCTTAAGCATAACAGTTCTAAGTGGTGAATTCTTCATTTATATTTATATTTACAAGAAAGTACCTATATCATAAATAGATGAATATATGTAATATTAAGTCGAGTAAGTTACAAACCTTGGTAAATTCTTTCTCAATATCGACCAATACACCTTTCCTTGCACATAGTCATTCGATTTGTTAGCCATGTTTTTAATTTGACAAATCCATCATATGTCATTAGAATCACCTGTTGCAATGCACTCAAATACAGCTGCGACCGAGGCTCCACAGACACTTGATCGGATGGGACAATTGGCCAAGTTATGGAAGAATTGACAAGAGATGCTCCATTGTGAGTAAAATCTGCAATAAAAACATAAACTTACTTGCCTGGGCTTGAAACATCTAGATATATCTCTTTAACTACAAGATAAGAGTCTTCTCAACTTTATCACATAGTCACCCTCATTAATAGGGATAGGGATAGGAGCATATTCAATTTTTGACCTCTTCAATCACCAATTTGACTTGATCATTTCGCATTTATGTGGACGCTATCATGTTCTACTAATCATCTATTAGAATCCACATGCAGATCACATGACACTAGCATTTTGAACTACATCACCCTTGGTCGCACTCCCAACAATGCAACTCCTTTGAGCATAAAACCTTGGGTAGTTTAGAGCACAGCACACTTGACTACAAAACTGAGCCTCTTAGACACGCTTGCCTGCAAGACATTAAAGTATTAAAAAGAGTTGCATTGTTAGGTCCCAGTAGATGATTAATAGCATATAGCACATCCCCATCTTGTTGCGAACATCCACCACACTCAAATTGCACATAATCAAGTCAGAGTGGTAGTTAAGCAATTCAAAATTCTAGATGCTTTTATTCCAATCCTTATTATGAGGTTGAGACCGCGAATGAAAATGAGAAGACTTTTATCGTGTAACTAAAGAATTTTGTCCAACTAATTCAAGCTAAGGCATGTAAATTTATAATTTTATTGCATTTTTTAATTAAAGCATCTTTTATTAATTCTTCTATAGTGCAACAAATTGTGCAATCCAAGTAGGTATTTTCACAGCCCCATCGCAACCATATTTAAGTACGCTGATCCTAATAATCTTTCAAATGAAAAATATGGTTAATGGTTCCAGCGATTGTGGGTAAGGCAAGGATGTACTGATATTGAAAAAGAGGATTTAACTAAAGATTGTAACTTATAATCAACTTGCCGTTGCCCACATCCAACTATTTATGACATAATATGTTCTTATAAATGTAAATATAATTAAAGAATTTACCTCTTGAAACTAACATGCTTGCATTTATAGGGACATGAATCGTTTGTTTATTTCCTGAAGCAAAGGCTGTTAAGTTTGAATTCCTTTACAAGATTCATACTCATGAGACAAGTATATCTATTTTCAAGGCTCTATCAAAGCAAAAGGGAGTGTTTCTAGATACCATATGCCCACAGGTAAAAAATTTTACAATTCATAATAATATTTTCTATTTGCTTAATTTATTCCTTTTTTGCAAGGAGTATTGGTAGTTGTTACTTCTTTCTATAAAAAGCAACAGTAATATGGGATAGGAATTGAATAAAACGATGGACTCGTAATTATGCTTCTACAAAAGGTTGACTTCTATGATAACTTAAGTTTCCATAAATTTAATAATAAGGTTATTAGAATATACTAACCTGTCAAACATTGAATTAGTTAACAACATACATGAGTTCAAAGACATTGCATGAATCATACCAAACAAAACCAGCTTGTGCAACTTTTTTGTGTTTAAATACACATTCGACATTATGACGTTATGAATGGTTGGGCTTACTCAAAAGGTAAATGTATTTTTTATTTTTAATTTATTAAACTTGTCTGCACACTTTAAGGGGAATATTATAGGAATTGGATCTTGGGTGTGTTTGGATAAAACCAAATTATAGTTTGAAAAATAGCTTCTAGAGAAAAAGTTAGTTTTGAGAATAAATTTTAAAAGAATAGATTTTGTGAAAAAATGATTCTGATAAAGTGAGAGTATTTATATAGTTGTTATTAAAAGCACTTTTTATATGTGCAAATTACTAAAAAGGATATAAGTTAATATGATAATTACATAAAAGATAGATTTTATAATAGGAAAAATTACAAATAAAGAACTATGTAAAATTATGATTTAGGACTTTAAATTTGGAAAATAACAAATAAGGACCCAATTCCACTTTTGCAAATATGAATGCGGGTGAAACGACTGAAATGCCTCTCAACCAAATGATAAGTTGACTATGAGAAATAACAAGTTCATTTTAGCGAATGACAACTTTAATAAACCAAATCATAACTTGGTTGAGGGTGTGCCAAATGATGAGTTGATTATGTAAAATGATAAGTTCATTTCAATAGACCAAATCACAATTTGGTTGAAGGGCATTTTAAACATTTCACCCACATTTTATATTTGCAAAAGTGAGACTGAGTCTTTATTTGCTATTTTTCATAACAATTTTACATATTCAAGGATCTTTATTTGCAATTTTCTCTTCATAATATGTTTTTATTTGAAGTAATAAATTTGTTAATAATATAGTTTTGCCAACATAATAAATAATATATAAAAAATATAATTAATAAATAATTAATATGTGTATATGGACTTACAAAATATAAGATTAAATATGTTTTTAGAAAAATGATTATTTTTTTGCCAACTGAAAAATATTATTTTGCCTTAAAGATTTTAAACATGAAATCCCATAATATTTTTTTGCAACTAATTTTTTTTAACAACATATTGACTCCGATCTTTAATATAACTAATTAATTGTTAGCATATGTATATATGTATTTATAAAATATAAGATTAAAAATATTTTTGAAAAAGATGAATATTTTTTTTGTGAACAGATTCATAAAGATTATAAACATGACATGCGGTGATATTTTTTCACAAAATTGAATAAACACGCATTAAAATAATAATTAATAATTGTCGTGAGAATATAAGGTCATAATAAAGAAGTGTCACAATAATTAAGAGTTTGCATCGATATAGAGCATTTGTAATAGGATTTTTTAACTATATATTACAATCTATGATAAAAGAAATAAAAAAAAAACATAACTATTATCACTGGGTATAATTAACAAGATCATCTCTTATATTATGACGAACCCGAGCCGTGTGAGATGATGATTGTATTGATCAATGTATATGTGAAAATCCAACTCCATCATCAACATCTTGTACATAAGTACCTTCTTCAAACTGAATGAATCCAGAATTAGTAATAAATGTCGTTCTAATAAAATTATGTATAGCTATCATTGCACAAACGATTTTAACTTGTGTTTGATAGTCATAGGATGGTATGTTTTGTAAGATTGCAAGCTTACTTTTCCAAACTCTGAAAGTTCTTTCAATTGTACTTATTAAACTTGAATGGAAATAATTAAAAACCTCATTTTCATTTTTAAGTATAGATATTCTTCGAAAATTAGGCAGATCATAACACTCCCGTCTATATGGGTTGAGATATCCTTTTAATATTAGGTATCCAGCATCCACCAAATAATATTTTCCTATATCAAAAACGAAATTAGTGTAAATAATGTTTGTGTTTTAAGCTAAACATAAATAAAATGTAACAAATTAAAAAAATACCTTCAGGTGGATGGAGAAAGTTCATTGAAGGAATTGTGAGGGCAGGATCAAATATGTGAGCATCATGTGCACTACCTTTCCATCCGGCCAAGACAAAAATAAAGCACATGTCCCAATCACAAGCCACCATAACATTTTGAGATATTGTTCCTTTTCTAAAAATAAATTTAGTTTGATCTGTTGCACTGACAATGCAGGAAACATGTGCCATCAATTGCTGCAATAACATGCTCGAAAAAAAAACCAGTATTTATCATGCCATATTTTTGAATGAACATGCCGAAATGTTGAATTTTTCGTTTTGATATTGGACATATTGTACAGCACACTATTAAGGCATTATGAAAATCTCTACTGATTGTCTCCCTTGAATGCTGAAATCTTTCTTGCTGTATTTTGCTACTAAGTGCATGGCTAGCAGTATGTAAAAGTATTGCAGTTGATTCATGTATCTCTATATTTTTAGTTTCCTTTACATCATGTTGTTGTAATTCTACACAAAGACTTAAGAACACACCCCTTTCCATCCTAAACATATTATAACGAGTGGAGTTACCCTATAAAACGTCCCTTACCCATGAGCTACCTGTATAAACATTTGTACGCTGGGGCTCTTTACAAGTAAAGAACAACGTCTCCACTGACCAATGCTACAACTTCGTTAATCCTTTTTTTTCATTGCTTAGTATGCTCCTCCACAAATTTAATTTCATCATCCATTTCTGTTTTATCCTATGCACACATACATAAAGTTTAGAATCCTTACATAGAAATTACGAAACATTTAAGAAAGTAACGAGTTGTCTAATTCATACAACAATCCAATAATCACATAATCCAATAGACATAAAGAGTTGTCTAATATAATAAACAAGTCATAAATTCTTAGTGAAATGCTTCAAAACGGCCACAAGTTGTTCCCTCCTATCCTTCAGCGCCGCATACATTTCCCTTGCCTCCGGTCGTTCCATAAGAAGTCGTGTGCAGCGTGTAAACAAATCAATATCATTGAAAACTTCATCAATTGTTTTAAGGTGAGATAGGACTCCCATAATTGAAGTCTCATAAGCACGTGCTTTTTCTTCCAACCTTCTAGCTTGTGCTTGTGAAACCATATCATTTCCACGTTGAAAATCAGAACCATTTGCTTTAGCTATCCTACTAAGTGCATCTGATATTTTTATAGGGAAAGTTGGTTTCTTCTTCATGGCTTCACTCTTTCTTCTGATCCCCAATGAGCTACCAGGTCTATCCCCACGATTGTTATCCTGCCTTATCCCAATGTTGCCCCTACTACCTCCACTATTTTCATTAAAGTTACTAAGTAAAATTCCCCACTTATACCAGTTGATGTACCTAAGATTTCACTATTATCTCCGAACCCTTCTTCCATATCATCATTAGGTGCTCCTTCACTTAGAAGCGTCATGGGAGAAAGTGCCCACAATTGTGGTTCAGTTGTAGTCACACTTCCAAATAGTTGAGTTAATTCATCTCGAAATTGAAGTCCTCTTTTTCTAAATTTTTTGTAGTTTGGAACTTCCTGCACATTAAGCACCAATAATATTATAAAATATACAAAAACAATTAATAGATAGAGAAAATATAAGATTAAAAGGTTAAATAATTACCACTAATTTCTTCTCCCACCAATCATCAATTGCACTAACAGTATTCTTTTCAATATCCCATCTCAAACCTGTCTCGTGGAGCAACCTATCCCATGTCTGCCATTCCTTTCGTAAGGAATCATATTTGTTCTTAAATTGAGGTTTTGTATAGGCTCTCCCAGTTTTCGCATTGAACTTATCGGCAAGAATTCCCCAAGCTTTCTTTGTTAAGCTTGTACCTTTTCTTTCTCCTTGTTGAACTAGTTCAATGCACAAATCAATGAACACCTTTGTGGTTTTTAGATCCCACGAAGCTTTCACTTGATCCTTACTCATTATGCTATAGAACAATTACAGCTCTTCAATTATCACAAGTTAATCAACCTAAAATCAGTTAAAATAGCAAGTGTTATTGTTATCCAAATAAGCTATCATCCCAATATTATTATCATTTTTCTTCCTTCATATGTATATTTCTATGCTGCACACAGATTTCAAAACAAACAGATACTCTGTATATTTGAATGCTGCACACAGATTCCAAAACAAACAGGCAGCAAAATCACACAAATCCTGTCTCTAATAACACGCAAATCATGGGTTTTTTTTGGCCAGCAAAATGATTTCTAATTTTCTATCATAAGCAAACCAGTTAAACAAAAACAAGTCCTTTGTCTTTGAAAGCCACATTTATTTATACAGTCAGATCCATGAAACCGAACCAAGTAATAAGATCACATGGTTTCAACAGAGCAAGCAAGATATGAATGTGGAAGAAAAAACAATCGAAACCAGTACTGAAAAGAACAAATCAAGCCACCAGTGAAGCAAAACGTGAACCAAGGAAAAGCAGCTATGAACCAAGCAAAATGTGAATCAAGCCAGCATTGAAACAAAAGAAGAAGAAAAAAAACAAAGGTGGGAGAAAATCTGAGAACGAAACAGATCCTCTGCCTCATCCGAACACCCACAAGCAGCTATAAACCAAGAAAAAGCAAAAGAGAAAGAGGACCAGACGATGCAATGAGCAGATGTAGCGAACCGCAAGCAAGGAACATATAAAGGATGGACAGATCGACGCAACGCATGAATGAAGAAAATACATAATGGAAGAAAATGATTATTGAAGAGGAGAGAGCTTACCTGAGTAGTGGAGCTAAGCCAAGGAACCAACGATGTCAACCTCACTAAACCACCACCGGACAATGCAAACACCGTTGATCACAAATCAAGGATAGACAGATTGGACTACCCAAAGCGCGATCTTCTTCTGCAGAGCTGAGAAATACCTCACCTGTGCCTGTTCTTGTGATTCAATATGAGGGTGTGTTTTGTCATATAGGTGCCTTCTGACAGGATATAATGATTACACCAATGTCCCAAAATTTCACTCCAGAAGCGAAAATATTCTGCTTCTTTTGAAACTTAGGTTTTGACCCAAACCAAGGTTTGCTGAAAAAACTGGGTGTTTGGCAATTATCTGGCTCAAACCATGGTTTGGGTACAAAAAGCACTTTTTTAGAAATTGCCAAACACCCCCTTCATGTTTTTTATATAGCTTATTGGAATTGGCTTTTGTAGCACTTTCTAGCAAGATAATAATCCCATTCCAAATCTACATTATGGTGCCCTTTTAAGATAGGGAAGAAGATTGGCCCAATTGAAAACTACAAATCACACTCCCCAAGCAGCTTCCCAGCTTGAGGGGAGCATTATGAATATTATAGGAATTGGATTTCATGTTTTTTATATAGTTTATTGGAATTGGCTCTTGTAGCGCTTTCTAGCAAGATAATAATCCCAATCCAAATCTATATCCTGGTACTTTTAAGAGAGAGAAGAAGATTGGCCTAGTTGAAGACTACAAATCACACCCCCCAAGCAGCTTCGCAGCTTGCGGGGAGCATTGTGAAAAGTAGAAGTATCCAAGTCGGAATCCAGCATGAGGGGGAGCATTAAGAGGCATTAGTTTAGGGTTAATTAATATTAACATGTTTATTATATACTAGCACTCAACTAGGTATGGATATTAATATCTGATCATATTTTATCTTAGAAAGACAAATGAGATACTAGGAAATGCTACCTCCGGTCTTAATTATAAGACCTTGTTTATAGACTACAAACGAAATCTTATAATTAGAACTAGAGGGAGTAACATTCATAGGCTTTATTTTTCCCTATACTTTAATCCTTCAATTTTGCTACCCATACACGTCTACGAACCATATATACGTGTATCTTCTCTTGTGAGGCTTCTTATGTAAGACATATAAGACCCATAACATACTCTCCTGATAGATGCAAACACATATCATCACTAAGCTAGATTATTTTTGAGACACATTTTTGGATGGAGCGTAATACCATTGTCGTATTCTAATTTAGGAGGGTCAATGCTTACTATCGGTAAAATAATCTCCTTTTGACTAAATACCCCCCCCCCAAAAAAAAAAAAAAACACACACACACACACAAAAACACATAAAACAACCAAGATACAAGAAAAAATATTCAAGATTAGTTAATTTACAGTAGAAACGTGCTGGAGCATGCAGCAACTTGCAAACAGAACAAGTAAACAAATATCAATGCAAAGTCATTTATCTCATATAGAATATAATAATTAAAAACAACAATAATGTGATAAAAAGAAGGCTTAGCGAAAATTGCACCTGGCGAGCAGAGGGAACATCAATTCTTCCAAGCAAGGCACTTAAGCACCCTTGTTTAATATCATTCTAACTTGCAAATCCTAGCAAGAATTCTGAGCAAAATGAGAAGAATAGAACCATCTATTTAAGCTGAAGTGAGGGGTGTACAAAGTAGACGCATGGACACAAACCTTAAGTATGTCCCTAAATAATGGAGTCAGGAAAAGAAGTGTACAAGTTATCATGACTCTTATCGCTATCCAAATTCTGCACTGCTTTCATGATTGACAGATGACCTTGAAATGGATACTGTATGTGTCATTCAAAAGCTTTCATACTGAAATAGAGTAAAGGCTAACTACCTGCGAAACCATAGTATAAAGTTAACATGCTTTAAAAACTTTCACATTAAATACTCTTCATTATTGTGTATTAAGTAGCCTTCATAAGCTATACGTCTACATATATATAAGGAAAAACACAGGGAAGAAAGCAAAGTCACTTCTTCTGGCCTCACCATAGCTGTTGTCGGGCTTGTGCTTTTTCTCTGTCCTACGTTCTGTTGCTTCAATGCATTTTCCATACGACCAAGCCTTTAAACAAGCACCCAAAGGAACCAAAGAAGGAAAAAAAAAAAAAAAGAAGTTAAGGAGGAAAATTATATTTCCAGAAGCCATTTTAACGAGGCAAATCCCTATATACTAACATGGTGCGGCAGCCATGAACCTTCATGAAAATTGGTGATACAGCCAATCCAACTTCTTTCCTGTTAATTGATATTTGGGGACTCTTTTCACTGCTTAAGATCCATGAGATTTTCCAAGCACAAAAACATCCAGCCAACAGACTCAGAAGGAGTTACACCGTCACTAAGTAGAGACTTCACAGAACCGACCAAAGTGGTAGCCAGGTCAAGAAGCGCCTCAGCATTTGCAACTTGCTCTCTTGGCTTCTGAACTACAATAGTAATGAAACGATAACAAGAAAATAATTTACCAAATCAGGAAATCAATCAAAGAAAAATGAAAAGAATGACAATGCAATGGAGTATACACTATACAGTGCTCACGTAACTTCTCTACTTCCTCGGTGATGGTATTAAACCTTTCTGAATCTGCCTTAACCAAATCATCCCTTTTCTCTTTCGGATTAAACAAAAGAAACCCAGAAGTAGAAAATAAAATAGAATTGTGTCTAAAGCAGCCATAATAACAATAAAATAATACAACAAATATCCCTGTTTATGTTTTTAAACCTATTTATATAAATATGAACAGCACAAATGTTGAATCTTTTGCACACATACATCAAGGGACAAAAGATCATGAAGTTGAGTGATATAATCAACTCATGACTCTATGCATGATTAATCTTTTGCACGTGACAAATGGTCAAATTAAAGCAATACAAACAGCATCCCTGCATCTACATATTCAATATTCAATATAGGAGACAATAAGTTATTGAAGGAAAAAGAGTTTCAAGAGTAATACAATATTTCGAAATTGGACAACTCAGTGATACGGGCAGGAAATGGTCCTCGGAGATACTTGAAGAAAGATCCTTGAAAAAGAAAAATAATAATATGTCATGTCATGTGCCATTACATGTTTAAGCGAACGAGAGAGGAAAATTCAGGAAGAAGACAATCACCTGGAAATTCAATCAAGTTGGGTAGTTTGGATGGCTTTGTCTCCATGTACTGATAGGGAAAACCAATGGGAAGTGTTTTTGAATAGAAAATATAGCCAATGATTGACCAATTTATGGTAAGCAACACGGAGAATCTACAACATAACAATAACTAAGAACATATATCAAAACACAGTGCAATGCAATAAGGCATATCACTGGCTAAATGAAGACAAACTCCGATACAAGCAGAAAAATTCAACGAAGCAGATTAAAGCTCGAAAACTTAGGTTACGTCAACAGATATTGAAGGCGAAAAAAACCCGGGAGGGGAGGGGGATCAAATAATACCCTAAAGAAGAGAAACGTTGCGCGCCAAGAATCCAGGAAGTTGCGCCGGAGATCGAATCATGGAGGACTTTCAAATATTTTCGCTGGATACAAACGCAATTCCTTCTTATTATTAGAGCAAGTAGAAGAAGTAGAAGGCAGGTGACCAACCACTGAAGGGCAAACTATCAGAGAAGCGAAGCGAGCAGAGAGCCGAAACAAGCAAACCGTGAAGTCAGAAGTAGAACAACATTAATGGAAGGCCCAATGAAGCCGTTGAACAAAGGAGCCGCTGCAATGATCCGCCTTCTGAACTCTGAAAGACTCGTAAGCAGCTGAACGTCTGTGAATTTTCAGAAGTCGGTGCCTCTGGATTGGATTCTTGAGCTGGAAATTAAAAAAAAAAAATTAACCGTGATGGGCCTTGAATTGGGTCTGAGAAATGCAAAAGTTTATATTTAATTAATGTGTCTTCGGCTTGTATCAAAAACAATTGTGTCTTTGGCCCAAAAAAATTCATGTGTCAGTTATACTCCCCCCCAAAAAAAAAAAAAAAAGAAAATAGTGCCCAGACTTTTAGCAGACGCATAATAATTTTTGACGAATTATTTTTAGAAATGATGACTAATAAGAATTCTTATGTAGAAGACAAGAGTGGAAATAACGTTTAACAATTTTAAAATTCGTATTGTTTTGCACTCTTTTTTGTTATTTTAATTAATTTTCATAATAGCTAGCTAGCCTCGTTTAATTTTTCTATTCACCAAAAATTTAAATGGAACAATTTACATTATTGGTTGAATCTAATTATTTATGAATTTCCCGGCCCAATGAACCTCTTCTTAAAATTGATCCATTATCTTCGCTTAATTATAATTATAAATTACATAACTATTGAATTTAGACAATATAATTATAAATAGATCAACAGACAAGTTTAAAGCAACAAAAAAGTGAAAGTCCATGCAGGCATGATTAGCCTCATGGTTGCATTTTTATTGCAAAAATGGTGTGTGTGTGCAAATACAAATGGAAGAGTACACAAAAATTCTCATACATCGTGTACAACTCACACATCACTCAGAAACAACAATCATCTTTTTCGCATAAGAGTGTACACCAGTACGATGTTCGAAGACAATAGAACCATGCAATGTCCAAGTTCCATGACTCTATCATATGTTCAAAGTTTTTGACAAATATTTTTTTTTTGGGTTTGCTTTTCACCTTTTTCACTTGTCACATAACTCTTCTTCTGGAAATAGTGCTGAAAAATTTGTGCACCAATAATTTTATTTTTTTCAGCTTTCAAGGAGTGGACTTTTGGTCAACACTTTTAGTTGCGGGAGCATCTTCATAAGGAACAAACTTGCACCAGAACCAATGTGATTTCCAGATATTGCTCATTTCTTCAATTGGGACACCCTTTGTCTCAGGAAGGAAGAAAGCAATGAAGAAGGTCATTACGAGGACAAAAGCCGCGAAGAAGAAGAAGAGGCCAAACTTCAGGTGACAAAGCATGAGCAAGAAGATCTGGGCAATTAGAAATGTGAAGATCATATTCACTGCAACATTAACGGCCTGCCCAGCGGATCTGATCTCCAAAGGACACACTTCACTTGGCACTAACCATCCCAATGGTCCCCAAGACCAAGCAAATGCTGCCACATAGGCACAAATCAAGAACAGAAGCAAGTCGGCCTCACCTTTGTTGAATGAACCTTGCCCATTCACTCCAAACTTCAAAGCTATCATGATTCCCACAGCAATCTGAAAGCAATTAGTAATAATATATGTTACAAGTTTTGAAAATCTCGAAGAAACCTAAATAAAATATACCAGAGGCTTAGTTATCGGTTATTTAGCACAACTGACACTAGACATCTTCTTAAATCTTAGTTACATTGAGGAGGCTGTGTGTTCGACCCTTTATAGGTACAAGCCCTAAAAAAAAAAAAAAATAAAAAATCTTTAGTTGTATGTCACCTGGCAAACAAGCATCTGAACGCCACCTTCAAGGAACAGAATCCTTCTTCCAAATCTATCCACAGTGAATATAGACACCAATGTGGCTATGACGTTAACGAGTCCAGTAATAACTGCTGACATGAGGAAGCTTCAGCACCAAAGCCAAGAGTCTTGAAGAGAACTGTGCGTAAAACATGATGACATTGATGCCTGTTAGTTGTTGGAAGAATGGGATTAAAGTGCAGAAAGTGATTTGGGGTCTATATTTGGATTGTGCAATGTTCTTCCATGGGTGTTCAACTTGTTTGGCTGCTTCACTTGCATTGATCAGATCTTGGAGTTCGTCATCAACGTTCTCAGTTCCACGGATCTTAATCAACATTTCCTTAGCTTTTTCGGTTTTGCCTCTTTCAATCATGGAGTTTGGTGTGTCTCCCAAGAAAACAGATCCTAAGCACAAGAAAAATGCAGGCACGGCTCCTACACCTAGTGAAACTCTCCATCCGTTTTCATACTTGGCAGTTCCATAGTTGATAAGGTTTGCGATCAAAATACCAATTGTTATCATCATTTGGAATCCCATGTTAAGTGCTCCTCTAATATGTGCTGGTGCCATTTCAGATAAGTATACTGGAACAGACTGTAAAAAGTATGAAAGAAAATAAAGGTGTTAAAATCAACAAAAAAGAAGTGCTTGAAAAATGACCATAGGGACCAAGATTGAATATTTCTTACTTTTACTTGTTTAAAAAATTTATTTTGATGTTTACATAATTTAAAATAAATATAATTTTTTAATTGTCAGTTTTTGAAAAAAAAATGATTTTTTATTTACAATTTAACCCTTAAAGATGATACATATCTCTACAATGGACATCAAAACCAGCTCAATGGGGTAGGCTGGATTGTGAGTTTAAATCTCACATGGTACCTCTGTAACATATAAGAAGAGGAAATGTTTTTTT